TTGTGTCCCTTGACACCTGTACATAAATTGTCTTACCCCTAAAAAGGATTCTTTTCAATGTTTCTTTTTATCTCTTCCCTCCATACCCTCTTCTCTCCCCACTTTGCCACCCTTTCACTCTTCCCTATTGACCTCACCCCTCACCACCCCATCCACTAGCCCTCCAGCTGGCCTTGACATCCATTTCTAGCTTTGCTTAAAAAAAAATAAAACTGCTGTTTTGTTTTGTTTGTTTTTAAGGCTTTCAGCAAATTTCCCCAACCAAAAGTCGGGAGCAGGTTTTAAAACCTGTTTTTGAGGGTAAGATTTTCAACTTGGCCTCGCGTCAGTTGGGAAGATGGGCTCAGAAAAGCAGCCAGTCATCCTGAGGTACCAGGAGGGGTTTCATTATGGGAGAAAAACACCGGAAGCCTTGGTTGGGAGTCCGCTCCAACTCCAGAGCAAAGGGGCACAGTGGACACAGTTCTGGGGAGGACACCATCTGAGCATAGTAATGAGAGTCTCTGAGGCTCAGGGCCCAGGAAAGCCCCCCCTCAGTGTCTCAGGATTCTGTCTCCCATGGTGGGTGCCATGGTATCAGCTCCCTTCTATAAAGCAGTGGACTAGTCTCTGGGAGACCTAAAAAAATTCACTTCACTCCCCTAGATCTGAACTGTAAAAAGTTCCACTTCCTGACCATAAAGATTAGACCAGATTAGTCACTTTCCATTGTTTTTAGTGAACTTTGTAAAAAGAACTGTGAAAAATGAAAAGAACTTTCCTCAAACAAAGGCTTACACATAAGTTCATATTAAAAACAAACACACACATTGCTGGCTTGGCTCGGGGCAGAGCCCCACCCACTCTTGCCTTGCCCAACCCTTCCTCCTCCTTCAGGCAGCAACCAAGCACCCTCAGTGGATCCCCTGGGTTGAAGCAAGATGAGAATCACCAGATTTGACTATCTCTGGAGCCAGTGTGCAGAGAAATGTTTAACAGCAAACTTGGTGGGGAAGGGTGCTGATTTGTAGTGTTGCCTGATTTCTGTGGTATAAATACTTAACCACCATGGCTGCATTCAAGCTACTGATGTCACATCACTGAACTAAAAAATAGCACAGAACTAAAAATAGGCGGCCAGCCAGTGAATGATGCAATGACCCAATGAGGCAATGACCGAACTCACACTCAACAGGCTCTGTAGTTTGAGATATTTCTTCAGTCAGTTGTGGGGTGGACTTATATCCACCCAACCACCTTCTGTCATCCAGGCTTGCATGGGGCAGGATGTACCAACTGTGAACACGGGTAACAGCAACGCACTAAGTGAGTGGGGGCTCTTTAATGAACCCATAACAGGGACTTCATCTGATGATCCAAGCTGGTCATGAGTGAAAGCTCAGGCATGCCGAGAGGGCTACATAGGCTCTACCTAGACCTCCAGGCAGCCGTGATCGCCCTGCCTTGGGTGGGTATGATCTTATTCTAAGTGTCTTATCACTCCTCCTGGTTACTGTCTCTTACAGGTTGGATCAATATCCAATTCACATTTTTGTCCTTCCATTTTTCCCAGTCTTTGCAAATAGCAAGGGTGTTCAATACCCAAGTAGCCTGGATTCTGAACCAGATTTAAAATTTTAGTTTTGTCACTTACTAGTTGTGTAACCTTGGGCACACTGCTTAATTTTTCTGTGCCAACTTCATCCTCAATAAAATGTGAATGATAATAGTACCTACTTCACAGCATTATTGGGAGGATTAAATGAGTTTCATACATATTAAGGACTTAGTACAATGGTTGACACGTAGAATATGCAGTTTAAATACTAGCTATTATAGATTACCATTACATGTAGTATATATGTGTTACATATTACCATTATGTGACAGATGAATGCATGCCAGAGAACAAACGCACAGGAAAGAAGGGCCCGAATGGATAGGCAATGGGATTCCTTTGGAAAACAAATACCAGGTTTGGGTTTATAATAATAATAATAACAATAATCCTGGCTAGCATTTATTGGATGTTTAACATGCATCTCACAAGCATTATTTCATTAACTCCTCATGAAAATCCTCATAGAAAGGAACTACCACCAGCTGGAATACACAGATAAGAAAACCCAGGCCTGTGGAGGATAAGTAACTACTCCAAGATCACTTAGTTAGCTCAAGACAAATGCAGGTCTTTGGAGTCCAGAGCTCGACCTCTTAATCATTAGTCTTTACAGCTACCTCTACAGCCCTATCAGCCAGCTCCTAACTTCCAGGCCATTTACTTGCCTTCTCTTCTCTGGACTTTCTCCCAACCCACCTCTCCATCTCTTCACCTGTCCCTTCAGGTCCAAGCAAGACTTACTTCCTTTCTGAAGACCTCCCAGACTATTCCCCTTAGTATGACATTCTCAGCACTTTCATACACTGTGTGCCCCTCATTCTCTCCCACCTATGACAAAGTTACCTGAGATTCTTTCTGTGTCACACAAGTAGCAATCTAGAGATTTTGCAAGATCTAGGTTAAATCCACGCCCTGGTTTAAACACTGCCCCAGCCCCATGACAAAGCCAACCTCTGCTGAAGCTACCCTGTATATCCATGTGGGTTCCCCAGAAACTGCTCTCTGCTGCTGGCCCTGGTGTAAATTGTAAAATGGGAACAATGGGAAGGTCAGCAGAGTAGAACCAAGCCCTGCTTAACCAAGCACTCTTCACTCTCAGTCACCTAGGCTCCATGATGCAGACAGAGGGTGTAGAGCTAGTCATGTAAGAAACATTCAAGCTATTTCTACAGAAGAGATGACACACCTCTACACTCAAGGTGCCTCCTGCCTGCTCATGGATGCTGAACCCTTTTAAGAACATCTACAGAGCAACTCACAAGTGAATGCAAACACAGTACAGAGCACAGAGAAGAGAAGATGAGGGGGTGGGAAGCTGAAAGGAGTGCTCAGAATGCAGTAGAACCCTTCAGGGAACATTTCCTAGAGGTATTGAGTAGATCTTATAAAAATTAAAAAAATATTTTCTTGGTGCAAATGCAATACATGCCCATGACAAACAAATCAGAAAATACAGACAAGCAAAGAAAGGAAATTAAAAAAAAAACCCACCTACAATCTCGCCCACCCAAAGACAACTTCTGTTAACACTCTCAACACCTTAACAACCAGCTTTTGCAGGAGACAATGTGCAGAGCTGGAGCCCAGGTTGTGTGTGTGGTGGAGAGGTAGGGGGACAAGGAGGTGGTCCTGGCATTTTGGTCTATGCTTGGGAGGAAGTGATAAGAAATCTCTTTGATGGGATTGGAAAGTATAGGGCTGAGGAAGAAGGCAGATCTCTCAGACCAGGCAGAGACAAGACACAGGCAGTAGTATCAGGAGACTAGCTGAACAGTGACATGATTAAAATAATCATAAGAGCAATAATAGCACACATTTGTTGAGAGCTTACCCTGTGTATGACATCGTGCTAAGCACTTCACATTCCATCATCTTATTTAATTCTTACAATCACCCCATGAAGCTTTTACCAAATCTCACCAACTGGTGTTTCTTCCAGTGTGCTCTATAGGCTACCTGCATCAGAACGCCCCAAGATGTTTGTTAGATCTCTTTGTCCCCATGGTTATGCCTCCAAGGTATTCATTAGATCTTTTTGTCCCATTGTTTGATTGCAGATCATCTCTAGACTGAAATGCTTCAGGTCAGAGCCACAAATGGGCATGCCCAAAAGATAACTGTAGAATGAGTAATGCCCAGGGCTGTCTTTTGAGTAACTTACAGCCTCATTCCCTTCCAAAAATGCTCCAAGGATGAGAGAGATTGAGCAAGAGCCCAGCCCAAGAGGCCTGTGGGCTCTACAAGCCTTCATTATCCTTGATTAATCCTCCTACAACACAACAGCCTAGAGACAGCTTTCAGCAGGAGGTGTGCTGGCCTCAGAGGCAGTAACCAGACAATGCAGGTCAGTATGCTATACACTGGAAACTAACACAACATTGTAAATCAACTATACTTTAATTTAAAAAAAAAAAAGCATCTGAGGATCCAGGGACAAAAGCAGGACTAGGAGATCTGGGTGACAAGGGAAGCCTGAGAGAAAAGAGCCCAAAAGAGCCCACACCCTGTTGCTATCTCCTTGTAACTCCACATGACCTGAGCCAAGTCCTCTGGCATTTCTGGGCCCTTATCTTTATTTTTTTATTTTTATTTTTTTATTTAAGTATAGTAGGTTACAATGTGTCAATTTCTGGTGCACAGCATAATGTCTCAGTCATACATATATCTACATATATTCATTTTCATATTCTTTTTCATTAAAGTTTATTACATGATATTGAATATAGTTCCCTGTGCTATACAGAAAATACTTTTTAATCTATTTTTATATATAGTAGTTAATATTTGCAAATCTTGAACTTCCAAATTTATCCCTTCCCACTCCCTTTCTCCCAGTAACTGTAAGATCATTTACTATTTCTGCAAGTTTGTTTCTGTTTTGTAGATGAGTTCATTAGTGCCTTTTCTTTTCTTTTTTTAGGTCCACATATGAGTGATATCATATGACATTTATCTTTCTCTTTCTGGCTTACTTCACTTAGAATGATGATCTCCAGATCCATCCATGTTGCTGTAAATGGTATTATTTTATTTTTTATGGCTGAGTAGTATTCCATTTTATAAATATACCACAACTTCTTTATCCAGTCATCTGTTGATGGCCATTTAGGTTGTTTCCATGTCTTGGCTATTGTAACTAGTGCTGCTATGAACATTGGGGTGCATGTGTCTTTTCAATTTAGAGTTCCCTCCGGGTATTTACCCAGCAGTGGGATTGCTGGATCATATGGTAAGCCTACTTTTAGTTTCTTGAGGATCTCCATACTGTTTTCCATAATGGCTGCACCAAACTACATTCCAGCAGCAGTGTAGGAGGGTTCCCTTTTCTCCACACCCTCTCCAGCATTTACTGTTTGTGAACTTTTGAATGATGGCCATCCTGACTGGTGTGAGTTGATACCTCAGTGTAGTTTTGTATCTGTAAAATTAGGGAGTTGGCCTTAATGATCTCAAAGGTCCTTTCAGCCATGGGTGGGAAAATAGTATCTAAATCCAAGGGGTATATACTTCTGCTGCTCTTGTTTACCTCTGATGCAAGTCCCGAAGCTCAGGAACCCTAGTGCCACCTGAAGGACTGGGCAGATACAGGCTAATGGGGATCTCCAGGGCCATGAGAAGGGTGACTTCTACAGAGGAGGTGGGGAAGACCAGGAGCTGCTCCAGCCCTGAGTGGGAAGCCAGTGCCTCCCCACTCACTGGAAAACTCAAAGACCTTTCTTGTACGTTAGCTCATTTGATTCTTCCCTCTCCCTAATAAGGTTAGTTATTTATGGTAGCCTCATATGTGTCCATAGGGCAGAGACAGAGAGAATGCTTATGGGAATGGAAACATATTTTTAAGAACATCCAGGAACTCAGGGTAGGAAAGAGGCAGCCAGCTGGCGTCATAGGCTCTTGATTCCAGGCTATGAGGCAGGTTTCTCAAGTTACCAGGAAAGTTTCTCCACCAGTGCTGAGGACCCACCTTACTTCTCTGTATCCTACACTCACTGATTGACTGGCTCCCACTCACCATAGAACCAGTCCTCCTATTGGGCTGAGTTCACACTGTCACCTCCAAGATACCTGTGACAAGATAATTGTGATATTAATTCATTTGCTGTATTTTTCCATTGCCTTCTCTTTCCAAGCAGGCACTGCTAGTCAAGTTTTTTGTTTTTTCTTGCCTTAGGAATTCTTGCAGAGCAGAAGATAGAAGCTCCTTGAAGTTAATATATCTTTCTTTCTGGGTAAAAGCCCTGTCTCATTGTGTCTCTCCAATATCATGCACATATCCAGAGGGAGAAGAGGAGTGATGGGTAGGGAAGGAATGCTTTGAAGGACAAGGAAAGAGAAAGAAGAATGATCAAGGACCAAAAAGATAGAAAAAGATTAACAAACAAACTCAGATTATAAGAACCCATTCCAGGGTTCTGGGTAAGGGCCAGATCTCAGAGGACGTGAGGCCTTACACAGTGAGTTTCCAATCTCAGCAAAGATTCCTAGGCTCCAAGGATGACTCAGAAACAGCAAATCACCAAAGCAGAAGAGACCTGAGGCATCAGAGGAAAACTCATTGTGGACTATGGGCTGATGAGTGAATTGGATGCCTCTATGCTTTCGCCCAATTACACAATCTTTCAGGGGACTGAGCCCCCAGAATGACAGACTAATCTGCCCACTGAACAGGATTGAGGGCTCAGACTCAGACTTACTTTGATAAAGGGCAAAAACACAGAGGAATACAATATCCCTAGCTCAGCTGGGTTGTAAAGTAAGAGTCACATCCTGACCTGCATAGAAGCACGAATGACCCCATTGTCCTGGCAAAGATACCAGTTATATCACCTTAATACCCAAATCTTATTAGCTCTAAGCTCCCACCTGCTCAGGTAGAAATTGCAGTCCTATGCTCTGTTGGTTAGAATGGTTTCACCGCAAGTAACAGAAAACCCAGATTCAAATTCAAACATATAAGGAAATGCAGTATCTCACTAAAGGGAATTAGAAGTAGTGGATTCCAGGTGTCATACAAGGAGTGCTCAAGGTGTAAAGGACCCAGGTTGTCTTCATCTCTCTGTTTTGCTGTCCTCAAGATGTTGGCTTTGTCCTCTAACTAGCTCCTTTTTTGGTAACAAGATATCTTCACCAGACACAGTAACATCCTGGGGAAGAAAAGCACTCTCTTCCCAAGCCTGCTTCTTAGAAACATGGAAGCTTTTTCCACAAATCCCCTATAGAATTCATTTTATGTCTCATTAGCCAGAATTGGATACATTCCTGTTGTTAAACCAATCTCTAGCAAGGGGAATGGGATCACCAGAGTTGGCCTGAAGCTCAAGAATAGCACGTGAATGTCACTGAAGTCTCCTTTCCCAGGAGATTCTTCAGCAGAAACAGCCCCTTAGAGGAACATATGCCTGGGGAGATGGGTGATTCACACTCCGTATGCCAGATACATCTAACTTCAGCTCTGGCTCAGCCAAGACCTCCAGCTTGTACCCTAGAATGTATCCTACCTTCTGCCTCCAGCAGAGTCAGGTTGGGCCACCAGCAACACACGCTGCACAAGGCATGGCAGCCACACTGGGAAAAGACTAGTTGTGCTACTTTTCTCAGAAGGAAATTGTGTATTTGGCATCATTGTTTCCCCTTCAGGTTATTCAGTACATTGATATTAACCCCATTTTACATAAAGGGAAACTGAGGTGCAGAGCAGTAAAATCGATGCTTAAGGTCACTCAGCTAGTTAAGTGGCAGAGCCAGAAACATTCTTTTTTTTTTTTGAGAGTTATGTTTTATTCAGCAGACATTTCTGAGGACTCAAACCCCTTCGAGCATGGGATGACAGTCTCTCAGATGGTTCTGAGGGACTGCTCAGAAGAGGTAGGGGAGGAGCTAGGATATATAGATGCTTTACAACAAAGACCAGGTAGTTGGAACATTCAAAGATTACTTGTTAACAAGAAAACCAGACATCTCAAGTTAAGGAATTTAACGCTTTTCTACCTACGGGAGGAAGCAAACATTTGGGCTCATTGAATTCATTCCTTTGACAAGCACCTAGCTATCTCGGGCCAGTATCCTGTCCTTTCTTATTCTGAGTCCCCTCAGAGTGCACCATTGTGAGCGGCTGCAGAGGCTGGGCTGCAGGCTTGTCTTCACTGGGGACAGAAACATTCTTGAGAAAGTCTTTTTCTGGACATGGTTTTATTTCTTTGGGGTAAGTTCCTAAAAATTTAATTGCTTGTTCATAGTATGTGCATGTCTTACAATGGGAAACTGCCAGATTGTTCTCCAGAACACTGTGTGAGTGTTCCAGTTGCTTCACATCCTATCAACATTTGATGTTGTCAGTATTTTAATTTTAGCTCTTCCAGTAGGTGTGTTTTGTTTTAATTTGCATTTCCCTGATGACTAGTGATGTTGAGCACTTTTTGATGTGCTTACCAACCATCAATATATATTCTTTCTTAAAGTATCTGACCATATTTTTTAAATTGAGTTACTTTTTTTCTTATTATTCAGCTATAGGAATTAATAACATTCCTCATTTTGCAAATACTTTCTCCCAGTCTGTGGTTTGCCTATTCATTTTCTTAAGGGTTCAGAAATGTTAAAGTTTAACGCAGTCTAGTAGACTGCTTTATTTTTCTTTTATGGTTTTAGTTTTCTCTAACTTGTCTATAATAAACCTCTGTCTACCCCAAAGTTGTGAAGATATTCTCTTGTGTTTTCTTCTAGAAGCTTTATAGTTTAGCTTTTACATTTAGATCTTTGATCTATCTCAAACTAATGTTTATGTATGGTGTGAAACAAGGGTCAAGTTCATTTTTTTAACATGGAAATCCAGTGTTCCAGCAACATTTGTTGAAAAGACTACTATTTTCCCATTGAAGTGAGTTGGCAATGTTGCAAAAAAATTGCTTAGCCATATAAATGTAGGTCTTTTACTGGACTATTTTCAATGTTGATCCAAATGACTGTCCTTACCCCTATACCTTCCTCTCTTGGTTACTGTAGCTTTGTAGTACGTTTTGAACTCAGATAGTTTGAGTTCCTCATCTTTGTTCTTTTCAGGACTGTTTTAGTTGTCCTAGATCCTTTGCTTTCCTATGCATTCTAGACTTTGCCAATTTCTACCAAAAACACTCTATTAGGACTTTGGGCTTTCATTGAGGTCGGTAAGTGTAAAAGGAAAAACCTCCAGTTCTTTTCTTCCTATGTAGGGAAAGCCCCTTACTATGTCTTTCTTCCCTGTGAGTCTCCTTTACTACTAACACAGGACAATTTACTTCTGACACTTCTGGTCACCAGATGTGTGTGGGGTTTTCCCCACAACAACAAGCAAGTCTTGGACAGAAGCTGGGTGTCCTACAGTTTAATTTAATTCTGACACTATCAACCCAGAGACAGGTCAGATCTCACAAATAAGGACTCAGTCCACAAGACTGTCCCCCTTCCCCACTTTAGAATGCCAGTTGCAAGCTCAAGGTATTACCTCTGCTTCTGACCAACCAATAGTAGATCACAGGTTCCAGTGACCTCCTCCTCAGGTTCGATTAATTTGCTAGAACAACTCACAGAACTCAGGGAAGCACTTATGTTTACTAGTTTTTTAAGGATATGATAAAGGATCAGAGGAAAAGCCAGATGAAGAGATACATAGGGCAAGGTCTGGCAGGGTCCTGAGTGCAGGAGATTCTGTCCTTACGGAGTTGGGGTGTGTCCCCTTCCCAGTGTGGATGTGTCTGCCAGCCTGGAAGCTCTCTGAACCCCCTACTATTGGGATTTTATGGAGGCTTCAATTATCAATTATTAACTCCATTTGCAGCCCCTCTCCCCTCTCTGGAGAATGGGGACCATGGCTGGAAATTCCAAGCTTCTAATCATGGCTCAGTCTTTCTGGTGACCAATCCCCATTCAGGAGCCATCCAGGAGCCAACCCAAAGTTGTTTCATTAGAACAAAAGATCTCTTAGTGTTCCTACAACTTGGGAATTAAAAGGGTTTTAGGAGCTCTGTGCCAGAAACTGGGGGCAAAGACCAATACATATATTTTCCAATATCTCACAGTAGGATTTTGAAAGAGATGAAGGCAAGGTGCTCCAATTTGCGGGAACAACATCAGCCCAAGTGAAAAGGTTTTCTGTGTAGGGGAGAAGGAGGCCATGAGACTGGCAGGGTCAAATGAGGTCAAATAGTGAAGGGGCTTGAATCCTAAAGACTTAGGACTTCTTCCCACTGACAATGGAGAAATGCTAAAGGGTCTATTAGCAGGGGAGTGATGAAGTAACACTGGGGAGAAAAGATGACCTCTTGGGAAATTTTTGGTTAAGCTGGGTTAACTCCTCCCATCTGTACAATATGGAGTTTGAACCACATGTTTTCTGAGGTCCCTTGCAGCCCTGATGTTTTGGAATTTGTTGGTCCAAAAAGGGGATATTGAGGCAGGAGCAGTAATAGCCTTCAGCCTGTTAGGGTCAGGGCAGAGACCCCCAAATCCTTAGTCCAAGATTTCAACCCAACCAGTGGGTCAGATTTCTAGGGGAGGGTTGGTCATCAAATGCCTAGTAGCTTGTGAAGTGGAGGTTTGAGGAAGATGGGGAATAAGTGCCTCCTCTTTCCTCATGGATAATCTGTGTAGAAATAACAATTTTCTGCCTCCCG